TGAAATAATTATCATTTACGACTACTGTTTATAAAGGCTAATGCGCTCTCTCTCTCTCCTCTTTCTCCGAGACCTCATTCGCTTCTCTCCCTCCTCCAACATTCTAGCTCGCCTCTGACCTCCTTCTAGTAGCTTTTTTATATATATACAAATCAATTATGTCAATTGTGTTCTTGATATAATTATTAATTAAATATACAAATCAATTATATATATCTCCTCTCTCCTAGATCTTGTTCGCCTCTCTCCTCAATCCTCTCTCATCTTTCATCTCTCCTCCCTCTTCCTTCTCCCGATCTCGCTCGCCTCTCTTCTCCTTATAATATGTAGTTACGAATTGTAAGTAACCAAATTATAACTAAGAAGCTTGATTATGTTTCTAGTCTTACTTGTTTTTGAAATTTCCTTTATAAAAAATTACGTACTTGGAATTGAAATTCTACCATTAAAGATGAATTTGAAATTTAAATTTAAGTTTAAATTTAAATTGAATTTGAAGTTCTTTAAATCTCATAAACAAGCATAAATTTAATAAAAATTTCATGAGACACCTTATTTAAATGTTGTCATTTAAGTTGTAGCCATTGTTAACAACTATTTAATTGATCCCACTTTTAACAAGTTTCCAACAAACCTCCTCCTCCGACTTCTATATAGACATATTTTAGCTTTAAAACTTCGATAATACTATAATCACATAATCCATTCTCTTCATTTATTACATCATCATAAAAGACTCGTAAACTAAATATCGTCTATAACTTTTATCTTAACATAAAAATCTTACATCCAAAATCATTAAAAAGAATAATCGATCACTAATAATTTAAAAGGGAGTCCAGAAGCTAGAAGGCATGGTTCAAGTTGATATATTTGGCACATTTTCTTGGAAATGGTACAAGAAATTCAAATATATAATGTACCCCATCTTCAATCATATACGTTTAAAGTTTGGGACAAATATATGTCATGATTCATGCTAAAATATTTAGGGGTTGTTTGGTAGAGTGTACTAAGAAATATAATGCATGTATTAGTAGTACCTTGTTTGGTACACTTTTTCCTGCCATGTATAACTAATGCATGCATTAGTTATACACTCTATTGTGTATTAAGTTGTGTATAATTCTAGGTATTAGTAATACATAGCATTTTTAACACTTGCATTAGATCAAATAATTACAAAACTACCTTTTAAAGCCTTTTTCTATTTTCTTTGTTGTCACTAAGTTTTTTATTTTTATTTTTATTTGCTTTTCGGTATCTTTTAATTTGTTGGTGTCTTAACAGACTTTATGGCCTTTTAAGTATCTTTTTTTTTTAAATTTAATTTCAATATAATTTAATCAAAAATTTTACTATTGTGACAATAAATTTGATTAAAAAAATTATTTGCCAACTTTCACAAAAATATTTTGACGCAATAGTATAACTATTTAATACTATTTTTTTTTTAAAAAAGATGAAGAGTTAATGATGTTTTAACAAAGAATTTTTTTTTGATGTTTTAGCAAAGAACTTTCTTGCAAAGGAAGTGTACAAAAAAATAAAGTGTGAAGGGTATTTTTGTAAACATATATTATTTAATAGTAATTATGCAAGATTTGTTATTTCTAATACATCAAACCAAACAATGTATAAGAAATAATACTTGCATAACTAATGCACGCACTACTAATGCAAGCATTACTAATGCACCATATTTTGTATTGTTCTTATACACTCTACCAAACGACCCCTAAAGTTTAGCCTTGTGAAAGTTAAAGTCATAACTTCTATCAAAGTGTCTGAAGTTAGGTCCTATCAAGGTCACAACTTCAAAAAAAAAAAAGTTTGAAGTTAGATTTGGTAAGTCATTGTATATCTAAAGTCTCGTCAAAATCATAATTTCACTAGAAAAAAATGTACGAAGTTTAGTCTTGTCAAATTTATAACTATAGTATAAAATGACAGAAATTGTCCTTAACAGACCATCTCAAACTTCAAGTAAAAGTATATATATTTTGGCCTCTACAAAGCTAAATATATATATATCCAAAGTCAAGCATGAACTAAAATTGTGTCTAAAGAAGGAAAACTTGCAAAAATAATTTAACACATGGTATAAATTTGACTTCGACTCCAAAAACGAATATTTGTACTCTTTGTCGGGAGAGGTTTTAATTAATGAGTCAAGTCTAATTACAAGTAGATCAATAAATTAATACCATATATTTAATTTAAATGTGAACATATTTCACTTCAACTTCGATTAATATGAGGGGCTTGAGTCATAAATTCAATATTAAGGAAAAATGTGATTCAATAGGTGGAATTACAAGAATAATTTTAAGATATTTGTAAATTGCAATATGCTAAAAGCATTTTTTTAATCTTTTTTTTTATATAAAATATAATTATGAAACTTAATTTCCAAACTGCTCTCTTCTTCACTTTATATTTTTATTGTTTAATCTCAAAATTCCTAATATTCTAATCCTTGGGGAATAGATCATCATTTCTAGGCCTCTGCTACTATAATTATTTTGTGTTAGAATTTAAACTATTTGATTTTGAGTAAAATAATATTTGTCATACCCACACTCATCCAATGGATTTAATTTGGCTAATGTTTTTTTCAACTTTATTGGGTGGCCAGGGTCCAACTTAACTAACAACATGTGAAATTGGATTGGCCTATGGATGGTCCATTTTGTTTCACTTTTGTTTGAACGAGTATAAAAAATCTTTGGTAGGAAGTGTTTTCCTGAGGCCCTACACAACACAAATTTAGATTAGTTGGACTCTAATACGGATATCGAATCGAAATAATAAAATATCACAATCTATTGTTAAATGAATTGGTTACATGTAAGTTGTTTAAAGGAGATGGTTTAAATTTAAATTACCAATTAATCCTTAGATTAATTAATACAGGTCAAATTGCTTTCTTCATTTATGGATGTAACCTGTCTTTTCCATTTATTTTTAAATGGAAACTCTGTTAACAAATGATAACTTTTTTCATATTACTACAATACAAAGTGACAAATGTCCAACTAAAAACACTAGTCTTATGGGTAGGAACTCATGTACATCCCCTTTTTTATTAATATATTTTTGGGAAAAGGGTCTGAAAAATACTCTAACTTTGGCCGAAATTGTTGTTACGATACAACACTTTATGGAGGATCTTTTACCCACTGCACTATTTAATAGTGTATTTAAAAGGTATATATGTGTCCACGTGGACACGTTATTATTTATAATTATGCAATATTTGTGATGATAGGCATATATATACCTTTAAAATACACTATTAAATAGTGTAGGGAGTAAAAGGTCCTTTCCAAAGTTTGGTATCGTTACTGCAATTTCGATCAAAGTTCGGATATATTTCAGTCGTTTTTCCCTATATTTTGATAAGAGAACTGAAATACACAAAAGCTAGTTCGATGATGGAATTGAAATTTTCATGGAGGGGTTTAACTATGAAAAAATAAAATGTGAATAACTTGATGCAATTTCAATATGTACTTTATATACATAAAAAAAACTTTAATCATATATAAATAGTATTTTCTCTGTCCTAATTTATCTGATACATTTTGAATTTCGAGATTTAAACAAATCTATTTTTTATTCTAAATTTTTCATATATCTTTTAAATATTTTGAACTGTCAATTATTGTGACTTAAAATATTTTTTACGTTGCTCCACTAATCTCTACAACCCTAGTTGTGATTCATTGACATTGAACCATCCCAGCTTTTTGGCATGACAAAATTTTAGAGATATTAAATTAGTGGGGTACATCTTTCCATGAATTTCTTTAACCAATTGGCTTTTGTGTCTCATCATATGAAACCAATGCTTAAAAATGAATAATATCCAAGTACCAAAGTATAATATTAGTCCAATTTTAATAGACAAAATTCAGGAGCTCGAGGCACATTGATCATAACCCTTAATCATTTCCCCCACTTTCTTCTTCAAACTCTTATTAGACATATAGTAACATGCAAGAGAACCCTAAATAATTAAAACTTTAGTAGTAACAGTTTCTTCATATCACAATAATAATTCCATCTAATTAATTAACCATGCATTGGATCTAATCATCTAATAAATTCTAAATTCACTGGATAGGATTAGGTAATGAAATCTTGTTTAATTTAATCATAGTAATATAAGTTTGGTCCAAGCGTTGAACAGTTAAAGCCAATTGAGATCTTGCTAAGATTTTCTGTAAATAATAATAAAAAGATTTCTTTTGAAAATCTAAGCTTTTGACTAGTCCAATTTTTAGAGAGGAAATGATTGAACTAACATATAATTAAAAGAATTTATAAATTGCTTACTATAGTTCTCTAAATTTTGGAGACTTATGCAAAATATTACTTTGAAGTCAATTTAGGTCACTTTAAAGTGAGGAAAAAGGAAGTACTTCTAAGTTATAGCTGTTTAGAATGTGACAAATTATGAGAGAATTCTCAGAAAGAAAAACACAAAATTAAATTTTTTAGATTATATAGAGTCGCTATAACGTTTTTTCACACCATCAGGTTATTTCACCTATTATAGCAAGTAACTTGTGTCATATTTTAAGATTACAAGTTCCACATTATAATAACATTTGACTATAAATATATCTTGAATAATTTACATATATAGATTCAATTTCCAGCAAATACAATAGACAGAGTTACCTGATACCTATTGCTGATGAAGGTGACATATATCTCGTAGAACAAGTTGAGGTGTGTGCAAGCTGGTCCGGACACCTAAATTACATATATAATTTATAAGCTCTTTATAAATCTATATTGGGATGTCCCAAGAAGTAATTATACCAACCATTCTTGTTTTTCATTTCTTCATCATACAGCAACCCAATGAGTTCATATTTGTGGCCTCCAATCAATTTTTAAAGTATCCATTTTGTCTTCCAAGAATTGCTACAAAATTCCCCATATTATATATATATATATGGACCTACATGAACCTTCAAGTACTTCTTTCAAACAAAGCAAAAGCTGTGAAAAAAGCAAATCTTTCTGACAATTTACACATGCAACCTCTTATTATTCTTCAAACATGCTTAAATTTTTGGCATCTCAAGTAAAGCCAAACAACAGCAAGAAGAGGTGACAAACTCTCAGTTCTTGTAATATATATTTGTTTGTTTGTGTCTTTTGTGATGGTGACAACTTATCAGATGAAGAGTCTTAGTACATTAGAGCTTATGTTAGAGGAACTTCAGCAAGAAGATGAAGGAACAAATGATTTGCCACCACCTTTGCCTGTTAGGCCTGTCATTAAGGCTAGGTTGCCTAAGGGCAGAAGGAAATTGACATTTGGTAAAGAAAAGAGCAATCTTGAAGATATTAGGGTTCAAGAAAATGTATTTGTTGATCAATGGAGTACTTCAGCAGAGAGGGATTCTGCAGCCATGACAGATAAGGTAAATGGGAATGAATTAAAGTATTAATTTTTGTTAACTTGCACACGCCTCGACTGTTCCATACTTTCTTCATTGGGTATCTGCTACCTCCCGTCAGCATTCGTACTGCTTAACTCTGCCAACTAAGGTAGAATAAAAGAAAATAACCTAGCTAGTTTTGACTTTCTGATAGAATTTGAACCATTGGATACCTGCTATCTCCCATCAACACTGGTACTACTATTTGTTGACTCTTTGCTAGAATTTGAACCTTTGTCGATGGTTTATTCTCACTTCGTTGATCATTAGGCCACACCTCTGGATGCATTAATTTTGTTAAATTGTAGCAAAGGGGTTTCTACTCTTTAGGTTCATGAAATTTACTATGTGATCATTACCTACATTAAGTTACAGCAGCAGGACAATGACTCTTGGAAGAAGTAGTACAACTAAAGCTTTTCCAGATACAAAATTTATCTTCACCAACTGGCAAATGTGGTTAGTTCCTAGATTAATGAATGAGGGCATCTAAATATTTATTAATTGGATGACAGAATGTACAAAGGAAGATTCACATAGCATCTTATTTAGACTGAATCACAGTCATATTTCTCATAATTTCAACTGTTGTTAGCTTACAAATTATACTTAATTTTGATGGTAAGTGTGGTTTATTTCACAGATTTGTTTGATGGTTGATCAGAGAGAAGGAGCTGAACTAAGTAGAGTACTGCAAATTCAGAGATGCTTTCGCGGCTATCAAGCCCGCCAGTACTATCATGAGCTTAAAACAGGAGCAGTAGCTCTACAATCATGTAATTCACAATATCCTATTTTTTTTCTCAAAACTTCATATGCTATAATACTAAGTCCAACCTTCAGAAAGAAAAATCAATCATATGAAACTTAATAGTTCTTAAAAACATATGCCTCAAGGGAAAAGAACTTCAGCATGTTATTTCGCATTTTCCTTCACAATTTTGATGATCAGAGCTCAACCATAGTTGTCGATTCTTGCAGTTGTGCGTGGTGAAATTGAAAGAAAGTATTATCAGGGTCTCACTAGGAGGTTAGCAGCAATTATCTTTATACAGAAACACATAAAGAAGCATCATCATAAAAGAACAGAACGACAACGAACTGCAGCCATATGTTTGCAGTCTGGTAAGATTGTAGAATGCTTAATCCAAAATTTTGAATATATAGTTTTGAAGATAGTCCTCAACTTTTCTCTATGCATTCTGCAGTAATTCGAGGTTGGTTGACTCGAAAGAAGTCCAATCTCTCGGGTGATGAAAAACGATCTTGTGTTCAGAACATTAGAGAAAAAAATGACCTTGACAATAAGGAACCAGAAACTAAGGTGTGCTTTATTTCTTTGACAATTGGTTCAATGTGCTGAAAAACACATATCTTAACCACTTTGGTTGCTTGAATGAAACTCCCTTCAGGTACCGCGTTCAGTTCTACTTGATCTTCAGAGGCATATTTTGAAGACAGAGGCAGCTCTGGAGAGAAAGAAAGGGGAAAATGCAGCTTTGAGGCTACATATTCAGCATTATGAGATAAAGTGGAATCAGTATGAATCAAAAATGAAAGCTATGGAGAAGATGTGGCAAGATCAGTTAACGTCTATACAAGTGAGCATTCCATGTCTTCATTAAAAAAACAAATGTTGTTCAGTGGCATCTCGTATGGATATCACTTCATAATGTGCTGCAGATTACTTTATTTGTTTCGATAAAATCCCACATATAAATTCTTATATAACATCAGTGAGATTGCTTAGTGTTATTTGCTTTAACCAAAAGACATTTGTGTATCTTGCAGATAAGTCTGGCTGCAGAAAGGGAAAAACACGGGGACGAAAAGACTAAGGGAAAACTCAGACTACTGATACTTCAAGATCAAGACGAAAATGTGCATAACGGATTCCCAAGAACTATATCTCTTCGAACAAGTGCATTGAATCATCCTGATGAGCAACCAAGCGGGAGATCAAATCCCAAGAATAAGTGTAATAACCACCATGTGATGGACATGGTCAATCACTATCAAAATTTTGTTGTCCACGATCAATGTAATTCAGGGGAGGAGGGTTCCGCCCTCAGGCCTAACGATGAGCTCCAGAAGCTGAAGATTAGATTTGAAGCATGGAAGAAGGATTACAAGAATAAATTACGCGAGGCCAAAGCAACAATGAAGCAACTAGGACACTCTGAAAGGGGGAAGGGTTCAAAGATATGGTGTGGAAGATGAAAAAGTTAATGTCTTATGTTAGATCCTCTAATTGGAGGACATTTTCAGAGGATCTGACACCAGTGCAACAACAACATATTTGGAGAGTCCGAGCAATGTAGCCTCTCATTATCATTTATTCTTCATACTTCATATTTACATGTACAAAGCATATAAATTGTCAATGTCATACAACCATTGAAGACATATAAGAGAATATGTTGAGGAAAATAGAAAAGACTAGTAACTTCCGCCCCTGCCTCTATTTCATATTAACTGAATTTGTAAGGCATATTAAGGAAAATATTTAAATACGTACATAATTAAACCATATTTTCCACTATTACCTTTTGTGAAATCATAAATTAAACATTTTTAAAAAAAAAAAATTAGCCATCAAAAGAAATATTCGCCGTTGCCGGGGATCGAACCCGGGTCACCCGCGTGACAGGCGGGAATACTTACCACTATACTACAACGACTTAGATGTTAACCTGACAAAATTATACTTATATTATTTTTATTCTTCTTCATTGAAAGTAATTACTTATTATTTTTTTTTGGGTTTGAGCCCGACTGTTCCAAATTCGCGCCACTTAAGGCGTCATTAGGAGAGAAATGCTCCCTATCGAAATTTTTTCAATATCCTAGAACTCGAACCCGAAACCTCGAAAGTAATTGTTTCTTATCAATACTTACATAGTCTTAATTTTTGTTGGTTACTTTGATTTTCTTTGCTAGTTTATTTTAGAAATTAAAAAAGGCGCATGCAGAAATGATTTTCCCGAAACTAATTTAATTGGATGTAGTTAGTCTTACTTCATGACATGTGAGTAATTCCAATATTCCAAAAAGATGAAAGAAATTAAACAATCAAATTTTTAGGAACAATTTTATTTTGTATTTAATTAAGGTATAGATAAAATTCGTATTATTTTCTTTAAAAAAACTTGATACTCCCTCCATTCCCTTTTAAGTATAATGTTCTAGCCGTTTTAATTTATTTTGAATTATAAAAATATTAAGAAAATAGTTATTTATTTCAAAATTATCCTTGTCTAATAGGTGCGGAGTAAATATTTAGTGATAGTTTCGAAAAAATTCTTTTAGTTTTGTCTCAATAACACAATATCCCTAGTTATTTGACATATTATATTCATCACCTTTATTTTAATTTGCTTGTAACAAAACTAATTTTAGGTAATGTAATTGCTAAAAAATATATATCATCTAAACTAAATTTGTAACAAGCAAATGAAAAGAGGGATATATGCTATTGAAGTAAGCCTAGAGGGAGGTTTCTAAAATTATTTCAAAATTTGAGAAGGTTTTAAAAACTTTTATATATTTTCTTATGTATGTATTATTATGGATGAACACAAATCATCAAAAATCGATTTATCGAATCGAAGTTTTATTATCGTACCACACAAAACTTTGAAATTTTAATATTTTTCTTTAAATACTAGTTACCGAGTCACCAAAATCAAATACCTGACGCCTATCTTAAATTGCTTACTATATATATATGAGTAACATAAATGAGTGACCTAGTTATCTTAATTGACCTATGTTTAATAAATTAATAATATTAGGGTTTGAGAAGTCTACCGGAATAACCTTTGATGTAAAGGTAAGGTTTGCGTATGTTTTATCCTCACACACCTACTCAGTGTAGATATGTTATTGTTGTAGGGTTACGTTTGAGAGTGAAAATTAACCTCTATACATGAGTTTTCTAAAACTCAAATATTAGACAAACTATGAACATATATTATCAAAAAATAACTCTTCAATACATAATTAGCGAATTACTTTACTCAAGTTTGATTTATCAAACTAAATTTTGATTCATCAAACCAAATTTTAGAAATCAATATATTTGATATCTATTTCTATTTTTTTTTAAAAAAAAAACTTTTGAAAATATTGAATCAAATATCGAACGTACACTCAATATAATTTATTAAGAGAACGCATTTGTTGATCAATGGAGTAATTCATGATAGGTAAGGTAAATGGGAATGAATTAAAGCTTCTTATAATATGCTTAGAAGCTAGAGGGAAAACTTGGACACCTTTGAATTTTCTTTATTTTTGTTAACTTACACGCACCTCGATTCTCGATTGTTCTGCACACTCTTTAATGGATATTTGTTATCTTTTCTCAACACTTTTACTGTTGAGCTTTGCCAACTAAGATTTAGGTATCTATTTTTTATTAATATTATTTTTATACAAAACCTTGATATACTCTCCATTCCCGGTATAGTAATGTCCTGGCCTTTTTAATTTTATTTTGAATTAGAAAAAAATAATAAAGTATTTTTTTATTTTTTGAAACTATCCTTGTTTAATAAGCAATGAGTAAATATTTAAGATAGTTTCAGAGATTTTCCTATTGATTTTGTCTCAATAACACAATATTCCTTGTGATTTGAGGTATCACATTCACCATCAATATTTTAATTTGCTCGTAACAAAACTGATTTAAGTAATATAATTATCTAGCAAAAAATATTACTTAAATTTAATTTTAATACATGCAAATGAAAATAAAGATGGTATATAATATTTCAAATTATAAGAGAGATCAGTATATGTTATTGAGGTAAGCTCGGAGAGAGATTTTTTGAAATTATTTCAAATTTTAAGAAGGCTTTTAAAATTTCTTTATATTTTCTTATGCATGTATAATTAGGGATGAACATAAATCACCTGAAAATTGATTTATGGAATCGAAATTTGATTATTGTATCTTACCAAATTTTAAAAGTTCGATATTTGATATTTACTTTCAATTATCAATTATCGAATTATCAAAATTGAATATCAAACGTTCATCCCTAATGATTGTTTAACATATATGAGTAACATAAATAAAATAGGTGGTTTGGATATCTTAAATGACCTACACCTAACAAATTAACGATGTTAGAGTTTGAGAGGTTAGTCGGTAACAACCTATCTATCTCTGAGATAGAGGTAAGGTCTGTATACGGTCTATCATTTGTGATAATGTTTTGTAGGATTATACAGAATATGTTGTTGTTATAGGATTTGAAATAGAATATTTAACTGGCCTTATACGTAATTTCTCTAAAAGCTAACGTATTAAATATTAGACAAACCCTTCAAACCGTAATTAAAAATCAATATATTTGATATCCACTTAAAAAAATTTCAAAAACAAACCGTATAAATATTGATCAAATATTTATTGTAGGATTATACAGAATATGTTGTTGTTATAGAATTTGAAAGAGAACGTAATTTCTCTGAAAGCTAACGTATCAAATATTAGACAAATCCTTCAAAACGTAATTAAAAATCAATATATTTGATATCTACTTTTAAATTTTAAAAAACGAACCGTAAAAATATTGAATCGAATATCGAACCTACATTCCACAATTTATTAAATTAGGGATCACTTTGTTAGATTACTTACCAAAATTGGAGGGTAAATTTTTAGTATATATAATCCTGATAACCTGGTTTTTGTTGAAACTTAAAACCCTGCGCCCCAGTATTTGTTCAACTGATCATTTCAGTTCTTCAATTTTCACCATGTCTGAATCTTCACATGGACGAGAAAATGATGATGATTCTCCACATTATTCTCCTTTTTACTGTTCTAATCCTTCTGATCAATCCGATGAAGAACCCCTTTGTTGGAAAATCCGTAAAATCGAAAGACCAGATCAACTTAGCGCCTTGACGGATCCTTTGGTACTTCTCATCCTCTCTTACTTGCGGATGAAAGAAGTTAGGCGAACTGCAATTCTCTCAAAAAGATGGCGCCTTTTATGGACTTCAGCACATAATCTGGTTTTCAGGTGCACTGGAAAATCTCATTACTCTGTAACTGCATTCATAACTTCGGTTGATGATACATTGCTTCTATCTAAGCCTAGTAAGTTGAACAAGTTTTCGGTTGAATTTCATTACGATAAAAAACTTGTTAAGTGTGTTAATAAATGGATGATATTTGTACACAATAAATATGTTGAAGAACTGGAGTTGTATCTGATGACAAGGGGTTCAGACAATTTTTACAATTTACCGCGGATTTTGTACTCCAATGCGTGTTTTCGAGAAATGAGTTTGTGCAATTGTAATCTTGTACCAAAGGAGGGGATCAATTGGCCTTCTCTTAAGGTTTTGGTTATTAGGTATACTGAGTTGAACAGTCTTATCATTGACGCGTTATGTTCTGGATGTCCTTCTTTGGAGTCTCTCAAGTTTAGTATGTGTTATGGGGTTAATTTATTTAAAATTAACTCCGAAAGTGTGAAGAAGTTGGTGATCAGTGGATATTGGCAACAAGTACATGACGAACTTGATGATGACGATGATACAGAACTAATAATAGATGCTAGGAATGTTACTTCGCTGGAGATTGAAGGATGTTTTCATAAAAAAGTTGTTGTTCTTCAGAATGTATCAGCTCTAGTCCATGCTAAGCTAGATTTCTATAGGAAGACAGATAATTATGAAAGTGATCAAAGTGATTTCAAGATTGACGAGGATATGTTAAGAGATCTCCTAGAATTACTCGGGGATGTTGAGAAACTCTCAATTGGGTCATGGTGTCTGCAGGTTTGACCAATACCTCCCTACTTCATCTTGTCATTAAAATTAACTATTATAGATGTGTTTGTACTTCTCTGAGTGATGATGGTGAGATTATTTACACAATCATATCACTTATTAGGTAATCATAGGAAAATCTGTATGATAAACATTAATTGATAAAAATGATGACCAACCTATTATGGCAAGCTAAATTACAGTCATACTATTAAAAATGTGTATTGTCAGTTGTTATGCTTAAATCCCTTGTAATAGTCTTACCATTTTTATAAAAAAAATTGTTACTGCACCATGCAAAATGTCTAAAGTTGCAGTACTTATCAAAAAAAGAAATGTTTTTGGAGTTGCATAACATTATGTCAGTGTTACTACTCGTCTTTCGATTCAGAAGCATTATTCTCTATTTGTACCATTACATCCAGTAAAGTCACCATAGATGCAAAGCAATTAAAGTGCCTCTTTTTTACCCTTTCCCCTCTTCGTATAGTTAGAAGAGTTAGCCATGCTATGTCCTAAATCCCGAGGACCGTGACCAGCACTTAATGAGCATCTATCCCACTAAGTG